AGTTTGCTTCAGATCTCACCCCTCAGAACTACCTCATATGGCAGTAGTGAAAGACATTCTCTGTCTTTTATCACCTACATGATTAAATTCTTCATCAGTGAGCCAGTTGCTTAGAATGGGTACATTACTTTCCAGAAAAAAAAAAAAAAACTGACACTAGCAGAGCTTGTCTTACTTGTGAAGCAAATGAAAAGAGTTCCCACCCCCACCTCCCCACCCCCACCCTGTTCACCAAGGGTGGCCACCAGGTCAGCAGAGTGAGTTGAGGGAGTCAGATTCACACATCTGTCTTAGAGGTTTTCATTTCCACCGCACTATCAGAATAACCAACAGGAATATGTGCCAGATTCGCTCTCAAGCACTTTGCATGAAGTAACTCCATTTCATCTTCACGACTGTCAGCTCAGTATTTTCATGTTCACCACTTTAGATTTGAAGGAATTATGGCCCAAAAAGGTTAAATAACTTGTCCAAGACCACACAGCTAGTAAGTAGCAGAGCCAAGATCTGAGTGACCGTGGCTCTGGAGTCTTTACCTTACACTCTATACTAAAGTGTCTCCCCAACACAGCACAAAGAACACCAGGTTTGGAGACAGAAGACATGGAGTTGAGTTCTTCAAAAAATTCAGCTTTTATAAGGCTCAGTTGTAGGATTAAAGGAGATGATATCATTTAAATATATACCTACCAATAAAGTGTTCTACAAATATAAAGGAACATTATTATTTATAAGCCTTATAAAACTCATTCTCAACTTATATGCCATTTGTTTTACTATAATCTTGAAAAGTATATTACTATCATCTTCAGATGGTACATTCTATGTTATTTTCCTTTCTTTCTTTTTTAATTGAAAAGACTTGAACTTTTTGAAGATTTTTCTTTGAAGGACAAAATAATCATTTTTCTAAGAGTGGAAATACTGACAATTTTTTCAAAAGATCATTTTCTAGACCTATTAAAAATTGACTCTCTCACACTTAGCTAGATAAACAATAGAATTATTTCTTCAAATTTGGTTGCTGTATCAGTTTTCCATTGTTGCCATGACAAATTATCACAAACTCAGTGGCTTAAAACAACACATATTTATTATCTTTAGTTCTTTAGTTAGATAGGAGGAAAAAGTTCAAGACATCTATTGTATAACATGGTGACCATAGTCACCATATCAACATAGTGACTAAGCATTAACCAGGCATGTAATCACCTGTAATCACAGGGACTGGGGAAACTGAGGCAGGAGGAGCCAAGTTCAAGGTCAGCCTCAGCCACTTAGCAAGACCCTAAGCAACTTACCAAAACCCTGTTTTAAAATAAAAAATAGAAAGGGCTGGGGATGTATTTCAGTGGTAGAGTACTAGACTCAATCTCCAAAGGAAAAAAGAAGAAAAAAAGTATTGTATTCTTAAAAATTGCTAAGAGAATGGATTTTAAGTATTCACACCACAAAAAAAATAAGCATGTGAGATAATATGCCTATGTTCATTAGTTGAATTTAGCTATTCCATATTGTATATATTTTTCAAAACATAATATTATATACAATAAATATAGACAATCTCTATTTGTCAATTTAAAGATTAAATCATTTTTAAATGATTTTTTAAAAGAAGTCTGACACAAGTCTCATTGCCATAAAATCAAAATGTCAGCAGTGTTTCATTCCTTTCTGGAATTCTCTAAGGCAGAATCTATTTCCTTGTCTTTAGCTTCTAGAGGCCACCTACATTTCTTGGCTAATGGCCCCTTCCTCCATCTTCATAGCTAACAATATAGCATGCCTTTGACACTTTTTTTTTGAACTGATGCTTTATCAGAAGCATTTTTTATTGGTGCATTACAGTTGTACATAATGGTGGAATTTTTTATATATTAATACATGCACATAATATAACTATATAATTTGACCAATACCACTCTCATTCCACATTCCCCCTCCACTCTTCCTACCTAGCCACAGATCTTACTCTTCTGCTATTATCATATGTCTTTCTGAGCATAGCCAGGAAAGGTTCTTTTTCTCAAAGACTCAGGAGATTAGATCAGGCCTTCCTAGATACTCTAGGATGATATCATCCCAAAATCCTTGATCTTGATCATATTTGCAAAGGTTTGGATTTGTTTTTTTCATTTGTTTGTTTTGTTTTTGTTGTTTATCTAGGTTTGGGAGTTTTGTTTTTTGTTGTTTTTGTTTTGGGGCTTTTTGTGGGTTCTTTTTTGTTTTGTGTTGTGTTTGCCATATAACCCATTCCCAGGCTCTGAGGGTTAGAATGTAGCATCTTTGGGAGAACTGCCTTCCATAATTGTGAATGTTAGGGAAAAAAAAAAAAAAAACTCAACCTGTGATATTAAAAAGGCTTACCAAAGAACAAAAGTTTAAGAATGATGTCAGTGCTGCCTTCTGAAAACCTCTAAGTCAGAAGAGCTATTAAGACACAGAGGAGATAAAGTCCAGCCAAGGTGATTTCAAATAAACAAATAAAAAAAGCCTGACAACAGTGGGCGAGGGATGGGAATGACACATCCATACCAAAACCAAGGGACAGCCTGAAAACAGCCCAGAACAAGGCCAGGAAATATACTCATCACTCTTTTGGGAATGAAGAGCCTCCTTTCTGATCATAGTTTATCATGTTTTTTTGGAAAACTTACAGTCATATGTCATCATCTTAGACATCAAAAAAAAAAAAAAAGACCTTTTTACCCAAATTTTAAAAAACAACTCTACTATTTTTTAAAGATAAATTAAACAAATTAAAGAAGTCAACTCTCCCAAGCATTGGTTTTGTATCATTTGGGTGGCAACATGGATTATCTAAACGGTGTTGAAAAAGTATTGTCAGGGCACAGGTGGTAAAGGTTTCCATGTGCTCAATATTAGGAGCAGAAGGAATCCACAAGCCACAGAGATTGAGTGCTGAGATCAGGAGCACACTTTTGTAGCTTGCATACTTCCCCATGTTATTACATTTTTCAAAAAGCCCAAGGGTGTTAGGTGCCATGAGGGTTGTCTGGCAGATATACTCAGGAAGAGTAACCACAACATCAGCAAGTCTCATTCCAGCCTATTTTATCATTTCCGTAAAATTATGCCATCTTATACAATCATCAGGACTTCTAAGCCACCAAGAAACTGTGAACTGACAAGAACTAGCTTTTCGGAATAGCCCCCAAAACAGAACAAATTTAATTATTCTGAGGCCTGCTTTTTAGGAGAGATTAACTTTGCTTTTAAAAATCTGTGTCCTCAAAGCACATGTATGACTCACAGTTAGATGCGTATATTTCCATTTAGAGGACTTATTAGGTAGGGAGACAGGAACAAGTTCTAGATGTCAGGAAAAAAGTTACCAATGAACTAAGCAAGGGATCAGGGCCACCTGCATGTGTGAGGCCCTTGGTTCAATCCCCAGCACCACCCCTACCGCAACCCCGGCCTTCCCTCCCGCCACCAAAAAAAAAACTGCCTTTGTGTGAGTTCCTATTTTTGTAAGTTCAAAGAGCAAATATGGCAAAGTTTCTGTCCTTCAGGAGTTATGTTCTACTGAGGGAACATGAGTAGGGAGGGGGAGATAAAAACAGCCCTTTTTTATCTGCAGTTTTCTCTTCTAAAAATATGTGGGCATTAGACTAGATTGTAATGTTTCTCCTAACTCCTGGTGTTCCAAGAGAGAAGAGAGAAAACTTGGAAGGCTTAGCAGTGGTTATTTTGGTTGATATAAAAGAATTTTTTTTTGGTTATTTACCATTGCCTTCCGATAGTTTTCTATAATGAACACGCATTACACATGAAATGGAAAAATGTTTAAGAAAAACAGTGGGGAAATTTTCCTTTCCATCCTGGGTGTTGGTTCCTGAAGGTGTCATTCCACCGTCAGTAATGAGAGCTGTCAGTGGAAACTCCCTCATCCCTCCAGGGACTTGCTTATGATTACCTTTGCCTAATAAGGCTTCAGGGAAAATGCTCAGAGAGTCTTTCAGCCCTTTTCTTGTTACCTCTGTGTGGCCTCTTCTCTTTTCTTTGCACACTTGAAGGAAGCCCTTTCCTACCTAGGAATGTTCAGTCATCCCTCTCTGTCTTCCTCTCAGTCTCTATCTCTGTCTCTCTCTCAAACACAAGCACATGTATGATCACAGTTAGGTGCTTATTTTTCCATTTAAAGGACTTAGTAGTTAGGGGATGGGAACGAGGTCTAGATCTTAGCATGCTGACTTCTCCCCCTTCACAACATCTGGACTGAAATGTTACCTGCACAGAGGCCTTACCTGAGCAGTTTCACAACTTCATTCCTATTTATCACTCATTGTATCATTCTCCATATTTGCTATCAGATCTCTGCTCCTTTCTTCCACTTCTAATTTGTATGTATTTAGTTTCTTTACAAGCTTCTTATTCCCCCAACAAGTCTGAAGTCCATCCTGAGGATAGAGAAAGGTTTTTCTGAACACTGTTGCACCTCTGGGACTCAACAATACCTAATGCTTTTTAGGCACTCAATTAATATTGGTTGGTAAGTGGGAAAATGAACGAATAGCATGGCTTCTTTGTCCTCTCCTTGGTCAAGTTCTATTCCCATTCAGTCGTGGGCAGCAGCCAAGCCCTCGGCCAACTCAAAAAGTCAATTGTTAAATTTTCAGGGACTTTACAAGCTGGTTGTTAAGCCATTTGTGGCTTGAAATCAGCTCTGGTGAGCATACTCATACCACAGAAATCTGCAAATTGCTAAGTCAAGACTATTTTTTCCAAAGAGCTGGTTTACCAGCACACCACTGCTCTCATCTTCAAAATTCAACTGTAAATATTCATACAGCATGGTAAAAAGCATACCCCATAGGTTACTTAAAAATCTTTCAATAAAAATTTGCTTGAAGTTTTAAAAAAATACCAAATACATGCTATACAATTATTTATCTGTTGAAAATACATGGTCCTTTCATAAGTTAAATTACGATCTGTGTCTCTGGTCATTTAAAGTTTTTGTGTCTGTTTTTCAGATCCTTATGTGAAGATTCATCTGATGCAGAATGGCAAGAGGCTGAAGAAGAAAAAGACAACAATTAAAAAGAACACACTTAACCCCTACTACAATGAGTCTTTCAGCTTTGAAGTACCTTTTGAGCAAATCCAGGTAAATGTCAGACATAATTTTGTTCCCCCATTCAATTTCATTTCTTCAGACCACACAAATGATACACACTGTTATCAGTGTCCGTGTCATGCTTTGAACTTCCATTCCTATTGCCCTGCACATCTGATGCTTGAGCCGCAGCAAGAGGCATATGACAAAATACACAGCACAGAACGTCAGCCAAAAACAGCTGTCCTTCTGCTCAACAGAAGCAAGGTTAAAAAAAAAAAAAAAAGAAAAAGAAAAGAAAATCAGCAGAACAACTTGGCTAACTCAAAAAGTTCATCTATGAAGTTTAAAAGTCAAGAGAAAATGAGTTTTCAGTCTTTATTCTCCAGCCATAAAAAGAAACTCTTCCTATGACATCTTTAGAACAAAAAAAGCAGAGATAAGAAGAAATTTTGAGTGATGCTAAATATGCAGTAACTTGAATTCTTATTAAAATATAATTAACAAGAGAAAAAAATAGGCTAAGTTGTATCTTAGCTGTTTAAATTTGGCTTCCTATGACTGATTTGGAATAGATACATATTTTTGTAACAAAGGAGACTTAATTGTTTAAACAATTATGGTAGAAAGTAGCCAAAAGATCTTATAGTTAATGTATACAAATAAGATGCTATTTGTAGCCACAATGATAATATACAATACTTTTATTTAGGTATTTCAAAAAATACTTAAATTTTCTTGCCCCATTTTCACATCTATCAAAGGTCACATTCAATAGTTGTGGACTATCTTGCTAGTCTTTAATGGGTATCAGGAAGTCAAACTGCATAAAACAACACTATTTTTTACATTTTATTAAATAATTGATGTGGTTCTATGTTTGCAGTGGTATTAACAGTGGTACTAATTGAGGAATGTTATTTAATTTCAACTTATTGAGAAGGAAATTTCAATAGCTACCTGTGATTAGTAGAGCAGTTTTTATTTATTTATCCATAACTTAAAGGAGAAGAACAAACACAAATAAATAGAACATGGAAAATTCTAAATATTCAGAATAACAAAAATCAGCAAATCTTCATTTACTTTTAATCTTTTCCTAAAATATAGCATCTTATGAATGAAATACATTTTCATTCAATGAAGAAAGCTACTACAATAGCTCAATTTATTGTATGTTATGTGCCTAGGTCCAAGTTAAGCACTCCATAGATAATCTCATCTTTATGATAACCTTACACATATGAATACTGTCCTAATTGTATCAACAAGCAAACTGAGGCTTAGAATTTCCTCTCATATATAAATATAGGAATAATAACAAAATTTATGTCAAAGCAAGATTATGCATATAAAAGCACTTGGAACAATCTAGCACATAGGAATACTCTCAAGAATTTTCATCATTGTTACTATTCTGCATTAATGTCATCTCTTTTTCAAATTAACATTGTCTTAAAAAAGGGATTTAACAATAAGATTAAGTATATAAATCATCACTGTCCCACAGAACTCTCTGTGATGATGGAAATGTTTTATGACCCATGCTGCCCAATATGGTGGCCAACAACTGTCAACTTAGTCACTAATTGAGGAATGTTATTTAATTTCAACTTATTGAGAAGGAAATTTCAAAAGCTACCTGTGGTTAATAAAGCAGTTTTATTTATTTATTTATTTACTTACATACTTACTTTAATATTCATTTTTTAGTTGTAGTTGGACACAATATCTTTATTTATTTATTTATTTATTTAATGTGGTGCTGACGATCAAACCCAGAGCCTTGCACATGCTAGGCAAGTGCTCTACCACTGAGCCACAATCCCAGCCCTATTTTTTTTTATTTTTTAAGGAAGGTAAACAATCAGCAAAAGTTTATTGATAATTGACCACAATAGAAGACTCCCAAAAGTTCTTTTTAACTGACATAGTGTTATTATCCAAAGAGAAAGTAGGGCAGTTTTAAATGACCAAAAATAAGAACTAACCCCAGCATCCTCAAATCAGTTCATGTACTTACATAAGCTTTCTCATACACATTTTTCACATGGAGGCAAATTATGCATAATTATTTACTTTCAACAGTTTTCATATAAATAAATGACATCACAAGGGACACTGGTTCTTAGTAGCCTGGACCTGTAAACCCACACTGCTTTGAATCCACTGGCAACCCGCTAAGATATCAATTTTCTTGAGGAATTTATTTTTGCAGTATTTGTTCAGTGAATTCTTTTGCATTCCAAGACCTTATTCCTATGGAAACTAACACCTTGTGGCATTTTATTTTTTAATTCCACAAAACAAGACAAAGCAGGTCACTGAGATGAAAACTCCTCTTGTAAACTCTTCTCCTTTATCATTCTGTACTTTAAAAATAAATTTCAACTGCAAATCTCAGCAAATACAAATATATTGAAATTGAAGCATATTAAAAACAAGACATATTTGGGGTTTTTGAGGTAACATTTTAAAGCAAAGAGGGGGAGCCTGAGCCCAATGGAGACTGCATCAGGCATGGAAAGAAGGAAATCTCTTCTGAGGGCATCTCTCCTTTCCTCCTCCTTGGGCCAGTTGCTCTTTCCTCATCTTTGCATTTCCCTAGAGAAAATAATTGAATCTTTCATATGATAAAGAGTGTTTTAGGTTTTCCTGATCCGGGGGGTATAAAATTATCTCTCTGTATCCTGTCTTTCTCAATCCTTCTGAAATATATTATGAAAAAAAGCATAATGTGCTAATTTCCAAAATCATTTAAAATGTTACCCTCACCTTCCACCATAAAAAAGAAAAATAAACTGCATTATTTTATAATTATAATAAATTATAATTATAATTCAAGGCTATAATAAACCAAGACCATCAGAAGGATATTTTGTCTTCAGTGCCACTAACCAATTTATTACTCAATGGAATAATCGGGACTTACTGCAAACTCTGAAAACTCTTTGTGCATAACATCCCCCACCCCACTCTCTGAAATACGATTACATCCTGATGAACTTTCTTTGGACAAGTTCAGAGAATCGATAGCCAACAAATACCACCTTGTCCTTGGCTTCAGTACCAGCAGTAGATAGTAATTTTCTCAACAACAGAATCACTGCAAGGCAGCACAAGGAACACTGTCTCCTTTATTGCCAGTGGGTTGCATTTTACATTCTGAATTCCACTTTCAGAGTGATTGTTTTCTCTGTTCAGAAGATGTACGACAGTGTCATCTCTCAGTACATTGGGACAATAATTCAGTCTTCACTGTACAAAGTCCACAAAGGGCTATTACTCTGCTGGATCTTCATCTGGGCCTGGTGTTTATAATTACATTTTCTGCTCAGTTAGACTCTGACCACAAAATGTTATATGTTCTATTTTACTTTAAACTCTTCCTTTTTTCTTTACACTCAGTTTTTAGATAGGAGCCGTCACATATTTGACTAAATAAATTCATTACTTAGAGAGCAGAACTGAAATGTGCTTTTAAAAAGTGTATCTTATATACCATAATAATATGGGTTTGTTTTCATCAGTTCAGGCAGTCCAAAAAAAACTAAATTTATCTTTACAATTTGATTAAATCATTGAGGTAAATCCTGTGTGGCCTGAAAGATAAGATCAATTTGATGTCAGTACACAGTAGTTACTGCATAACTGTTTATTGAGAGAATGTATGATAGAGAAAAAAAACTTATTTTGTTACCATTTTTTAAAGACATTCACTATATTGTCACATTTTATGTTCATAATCATGATTAACTGATATTCTATATTAGTTTCACATAAAATACTAGCTATTCCTTCCTGAAAAGGGATAATAAACACATGGCTACTTGGAGAATTTTAATCAAATTAATAGCAACAGCAAAAATGTCCTATTGCTAATGCTGGAATTCTCACTGAAGAGATAGGGGATTCAGAGGCTGACGTGACATGGCTCATGTAGTTTACAGCCCAGGATCTGGAAAACAACTTACTCATTCCTTATGCAATCTTAGACAGGTTAGATAGCTTCTCTCTTTTTTTTTTTTTTATATTTATTTTTTAGTTTTTTCGGCAGACACAACATCTTTGTTTGTATGTGGTGCTGAGGATCGAACCCGGGCTGCACGCATGCCAGGCGAGCGCGCTACCGCTTGAGCCACATCCCCAGCCCAGATAGCTTCTCTTGACATCCTTATCTGTATAATAGCAAGTCAACAGGATCTACCATGAGAAATAATTGAGTTCATATATATGAGATTCAAGATAATGCAACGCACATAATAAAAATGAACATTCAAATATTGAGATTATGGCCATGATGATGGTGGTGGTGGTGATGAGGTAGCAGAGGAAAAATAAATATTGGACTCAAGTTTTCATGTGCAGGTAGGTCACTTTCAGTCTCATCCTGGTGGTTGTAGATTGATTCTTCTTATTTTTGTTCCCTTAGATCTCAAAGAAGCATTGTAATAGGGCTGTTTCTCTAGAGCAAGTGATATATATTCATTTTGTGCCCTCTTTCAGAAAGTGCAAGTGGTGGTAACTGTTTTGGACTATGACAAGATTGGCAAGAACGATGCCATCGGCAAAGTCTTTGTGGGCTACAATAGCACTGGCGCGGAGCTGCGACACTGGTCAGACATGCTGGCCAACCCCAGGCGACCTATTGCCCAGTGGCACACCCTACAGGTGGAGGAGGAAGTCGATGCCATGCTGGCTGTCAAGAAGTAAAGGGAAGAAGAAGCCTTTCTGCATTTGCCCACATAGTGCTCTTTAGCCAGTATCTGTAAATACCTCAGTAATATGGGTCCTTTCATCTTTCCAGCCATGCATTCCTAACACAATTCAGTGGTACTTCAAATCCTGTTTTAATTTGCACAAATTTAAGTGTAGAGAGCCCCTGTGCCCTTCATCATACCACTGCCCTCCAAATCTACTCTTCTTTTAAGCAATATGATGTGTAGATAGAGCATGACGGAAATTATTTATTGTATCACACTGTTGTATATACCAGTATGCTAAAGATTTATTTCTAGTTTGTGTATTTGTATGTTGTGTTTCCTAATATGTGTATATCTAGATGTTTTTAATAAGATGTTCTATTTTAAACTATGTAAATTGACTGAGATAGAGGAGAGCTGATAATATATTATATGGTAAATATAGTATCGTCTGCATTCCAGCAAAAATATCAACTTGTAAGGCACTAGTACAGTTAGACTGACATCTTAAAGGACAACTTAAACCTGAGCTTTCTATTGAGTCATTTGAGTACCAAGATACACTTCCACCACATATTCGGTGGGTGAATCCAATTTTGTAGAATTCCTTCACAGGCAAAATAGCATGATCTGAGCAGCATCCAGGCCGACCTCAAGGAAGCATAGCCACAAACCAGAATAGCATCTATCTGTACATTCTACAAAGCTAAAATCATGGCTTCACTCTTGTATTTGAGGAAGCAACAGAACAGGAGTCAATGAATTCACATTACTGCATGTAGAGTAATGACAGGATATGGTGTTCAGTTGAGTATGCAAGGGCGTATGAGCGTGTGAGTGTATGTGTTTGTGTGCATGTGTGGAGCACACATTTGTTTGGGGATGGGTGGGGGAGGAGAAACTGAGGGGAAAAGTCAGCATTTCTGAAATATTGCCTATTTAAAAAGAAAAAAATAGCTCTCCATTATCACCTTTATACAAAATGTGCATCCTGTGAATTCTGTTCCAGATTTCACACCTATAATGATTCCAAAAGGTTTGCACATTAGACTTTGTAACAAAATATTTTATTATACAAAACCAGATTAGAAGGAATGCAGAATATTTTTAACACAGCAATCTGTGCTTATTACACAAAATTACTTTGTGGTAAACAGACAGTATTGTAATCCCATCAAAAGATAAAAAAAAAAAAAACTAATTAGCCATAGTTCTGAATGCACTTCAATTAAGCCAAAACAGACAGCTAGTGATCTTTTTATATGCTCTTTTTACTTAAATAAGTTTTAATTTGTCCTTTAAACAAAGGTGAAACAAAACCAAGAACAAGTTCTAGAAAACTGAAGCAACCTCTTATGTACACTAGATGCTTGATTTAGGAGGAGTTTTTAAATGTTTCAATGTTATTATGTAGTAATTGGCACTATTATGAAGCTATTAGTCATTCCATACGAGTCTTAAAGGACTGCTCTGTGTAACACTGTGACTGCCGTGTGTGCTTAGACACGTAGTTTCCTCAGTGGATAGCACTCAATTTATTCCGTAGTGATATTGTAACAATACTGCCATTCCCTTCTACTGCACTGCCCAAGGTGTGTGTAGCACAAACAGTTCTCATTACAAAGGACCAATTCAGAACTGAAAAGCTATGCATAGGACAAGAAGGACACATCAACTGCGGTGGAACACACAGCATTTTGTCAAGCACTGTGCAATATTCCATATTTTCCCCCACTATAGTAGACAGCCACTTGTGGACGGGCAGCCTTTTATCTATCCCATGCTGCTTCTAGTCTTTTCTCTTACTTGCTTCTGTGACCAGTTGAGACTTTGAGGTCATAGAAAACAGTGATGCTCTAAAGCCAGAGTTTATCTTCACACATACCAAAATCAAATGGAGGAGAACCAAGCATTGGTCTCATGTTCAGTCTTCAAGAGTATCACTCCATGTTTTGTAAAAAACTCAAGAGAATTCAAAAAGGGATGATGGTAGACTTTAAACATGGGGTTGGCTGTTTCTCAATAAAATAAGAATCCCTGTCATTTTTCTTTCCTCATCAAAGAAGAGGCAAGCCCTTTCACCTTTTAACCCATCACAGCAAACTCTTAACTAATGAAACAGACACAAAGGATAAAAGAAGAATGACATCTCCTTCTGCTGATGGTTCATACTTCTTTAACACACACACACACACACACACACACACAATAGAAAATGCACAAGTCATAATGTAAGATCAAACATCAGTTTGAACACAATTCAAATGAGACTCATTCCAATTTAAAGGACCAAACCCTACCAAAGAGGGGGAGATGACTTTTAAAAATTCCTTCAGACATTGACATTTAACTTCACCGTCTTCAGCTTTGAGTTGTGCACAATGAAACAACACCTTAAAACAAGCAGGTTCAAGCTGCTGAGCAGATATTACTTCCTGCAAGAAAGTACTGGTAATGCATTCTCTTGCAACACTGCCAACAGGGGATTGTCACCGTAGAATTAGTTGGTACTATGTCATCTCTCATAAGTCGGTGACCAAACCTGCTTTATGACCAGGATTCATCTTTAGATAAGCCACATGTACCTTTCTGACAAAGCTGTGTAAAGTATTAGAATCTGATGCCGTAGAAAGATCCTAGTTGCCTTTGTGTATATTTACTGCCTGCTTGAGTGTTTCTATGTGTGGGTTTTCTGTGTCTTGTAGAAATGTTGGGGTGTTTTCTTCTGCCATAAGGCTCGTGGCCCGCGAGCCCACTACTTTAGCTGTATTTTACCTTCATTTTTTGATGAGGTGGTTTAAATTTTGTTTCACTTTGTGTAGTGAATTCCACAGTAGTTTTCTGGTCGTTGTTAAAAATGACTTACCATATGACCTGGATATTCAATAAAAATGTTTTATTTCCTGTTGATGTTGCCGCCTTTCAACTCTTTTTCTTACCTGACTGGTGGTAAGTCAAGAACTGGTTGACTTTTGGGGATACTTGAAATCAGTAACAGCTATGGAAGCTTTCACTAAGTGCCAGCCAAAGTCAGTCACACCTGTGAGCAACTGCAGGGAAACAATGTCTTGGGACATCTGGCCATTACTGTCCAATTCTGTGGGCAGTTGTCCCTCTCAGCCTCTGCTTCTCTGTGCCTGTTTATGATCAAGGCACCTGGTAGGTATTTTTTGAGGTTTTCCACTTTTTCCAAAATGTGTCCTCCACAGATTTTTCCCCAGAGCTTAAGTCACACAGCTTCTCCAGAACGAAACTGAAAACAATTGTTTTGACCCCATTTTTGGAGGATAGTAGGACACATTAAATTCCATGCTTACTGCAATAGTTAGGAGAAACAAATAAATCCCTTTCCTACACAAACTTCAGCATTTATCCAGGGCCTATTCTGTACAATGTTTATTCTGGATGCTGGAGCCTGGTCTTAGACTGACATGTGAACATACAATCACAATGCACTCCCATATGTACTTAAAAGGAAGGGCATTGGGCCCCCAAGAACTTTTATTAGACCAATCATAGTGGACACCATGCTATATCACCCTGATCCACTTCCGTGCTCATCCTGCAGATGCTAGAAGCATTACCGCTGACAGTAAGTCCCTCAACTGCTGAACACTGTCTCACCTGAGTGCACACCTCCTCCCTGGAGTAGTCCACATTCCATGACTGATTTGGAACTTCTCTGCAACACCAAAGGGTAGCATCAACTGCTTTTGCAACTGTGCTGCATCTCAATTTCTCCCTCTGCCCAGCTCCCCCATCCCTTTGCCAGTGTGGTTCCCAAGAGCCCTCCCCAATAAAACCCCTTCCTGTACAGCTCCATGCCAGAGTCTGTATCCTGGGGAATCCCACGCTACAACACAGTCTTTGGGGGACGAGATCTCATGAAGAATTTTCTGCAGAAGGTAACACAACAGAGGAAAGTACCAGAGGAACTGGTAGGAGTGGGCAAAACTTCTCTAAAATTTGTCATTTGACAAGTTTGTTTACAATAAGGTCTTTGATGGATGTCTACATCATATTTCCTTCAATCAACGCTATTAATCACTGCCAAATAAGGAGAGGGACCAAGCCCAAACTGCTTAGATGCCCAGGGGAAACACCATTTAATTACTGACTATGTGAGGATGTAGTAGGCAAACAGTACTAAACTTAAGGGTAGAAAAGAAAAATTTCAGGGATACAAGAGTTAGGAACAGAAAATCATCATCATTGTAAATAGAACTGTTTGGTTGTCAATGGTGAGAATCTGGTTTTTAAAAAATTCCTTAAAATTAGGTCCAGTATCATTTCAAGAATATTTCTTAATGAATTATTTTAAAAAATCAACAATCCTTTTCCCAGTGTCCAAAAAGCTGATATGTCTAATGCACATACACTTAGGATATTTATTAGGTGTACTAGTCAGGAAAAGAAAACCATTTCAGATACTTCAAAGAAGGAATATTGAAAATTGACCACATAGGGAGGACTGAGAAAGTGGTCAATGGAGCAACACAGATATCAGTATATACCAGCCCCAAGGCTACAAGGAAAAAATGGAGATTGCAGCATGAGGGGAGCCCAGAACTGTATAGGAGGGGCTAGAATCTTGGGGAAGGTGGCAAGGAGGCCCCATGGAGATAGCACTACCCTAAGGTATCAGGTGCTAAAGGGGCCAAGGAGGACTCCGCTTTGAAGGCTCTAGGAAGGCTAGAAAGAAGATCCCTATCTGTGGTTGCTCACTATGTCTGGTGGAAAGCCAACAGAGCTAGAAGCAGAAAGAAGATCCTTTCTCCTCTCCTCCTTTGACCTCAACTGGTGCCTGTCATTGGCAGAACCTAATCAGCAACTGGTAAGGGATTCTAATAAAACAATATTCAAACACCAAGACTCCACCTCAGGCATATCACAAAACAGAGAGTGGGCTGACAGTAGCAACAGATGACCAACACATTAGGAAACATTTGATCAGCTGCATACACTTTTTAAATGCAGCAGTTTTTTCCTCAGAGGATTAATATGTTCCTGGACCACACAGGTTATCCCCCACCTGATGAAATAGATGCATAGAAATCACCTCATTCTATTTATGCAGAGACTTTATGCTTATGGATTTGAAAATTCCAACCATGATTGCTGTTTCCCCATCTCTGCAAACTATCTTTATTACATATGCACAGGACTCTTTGATGTTTAGCAACTGATTTATGCCACACACAAATCCCTACTGTTAAACAGTCAGATGGTGACTTTGGAACACAAAAGGTAAGAAAACAGGAAAATAACAATGAGAAATATTTTGGTACTAAATGTACAAAGAAATTTTCCAGAGGATATAGAGTAATAATTATGCAGGAGGAGCCATCAAAAGAGTAGCAAAAGCACCATGTAGCCTGCTGATTTGTGTGACTGAAGTTCTGAGGCTGGCCTTGCATTTTATAATCCACATTTCAGCCACCCTGATTTCTTCACCCTCCCCAGCCAAACATGCCTCCGGAGTTCCCACATTCATCCTTCTTCTTTTGACAGTAACTGCATTGCCATTGAAGCCTATCCTCTGTGCAGGGCACAGGCAAGGTTAAAAAACATTTTCTGTGGAAAAAGTTGGAACTCACTTCCTTTTCCACTGTCCACTTTATCTCTGTCACCTTCCCACTTCTCTGTATTGGGAGCTCAGCAAACAGTTGACACCATTCAGGAGAAGATTACTTGAGTTGCAGAAGCCCAACAAAAGCTGCATTAAGGAAAAAAAGAGAGAAAGAGAGGGGCAGGGGAGGGAGCACACCTAATCAGGAAGTATGCAGTATGATCACATTCAGGAACAGCTGGACCAAGGACTCAGTGTCATCAATCCCCAAACACACCCTCACACTCTGCAATCCTCAGTATTGACTTCATAGCCAAGCTTCTGTGCCTCCATGTGGCAACACCTCATGGCCCTTGGCACCTCCAAATATATATTCT